CCCCCCCCCTCTGTTACTTTTGTTTGTTTGCCTGTCTGTCCGTCTGTCTGCCTTTTTCCTATCACTCATATTATGACTGTCCCTGTAGTGCTGTGCTTCTATTTACCAAAGCAATCAAACCTGACAAGCTGTTTGATTTCAATACTTGAATACTTGAATTTAAAGCTGAGGTCTTCATATAGGTCCATTTTATTGTGGGAAGGCTGATTGTTTCTATCATCAGCTTTTGATTTCAATGAAAAAAAAAAAGATTTAGCTGTACAGGTTCTGATAAATTGTGCTGCAATACGTCATAAGTGCCGAAGATTAGAGGCGCTACAAGAGAGGAAACATTAACAACTCACTGCATCCTCCTGACCCAAGCTCTCCGGCTGGTGGCAGAGAGACGTCTCTTTCTTCCCGCGACACCCAAAAGGTTAAAAACTATAAAAGAGTGTATTTTCTTCTCTAGAGGAGAGGGGAGTATAATATGTGTGTGTGTGTATGTGAGAGAGAGAGAGAGAAAGAAAGAGAGAGAGAGAGACAGAGAAGAGAGAGAGACAGAGAGAGAGAGAGAGAGAGTGTGTGTGTGTGTGTGTGTGTGTGTGTGTGTGTGTGTGTGTGTGTGTGTGCGCGTGTGTGTGTGTGTATGAGTGCGTGTGCGTGTGCATATGTGTGTAGATCTAGGTATGTACGTGGTGAAATACCAAACCAATATGCCAGGATATGGACTAAAAAGATGTACCTTATCTTATCTTATCTGATCTTATCTCGTCTTATCTTATCTTATCTTCTCTAGTTTCGTCGTTGCCGACCTAGCCCGCAAAGCCGCCAAATTAAGTCCAGAGCAAAGGAAACATCACATCACAGAAGTTCTTTCCAGAGTGTTCGAGTCAGAGGAAGCTTTGCACGTGAGGGATTTCTTGTTTTGTTTTTGTCTGTGTTTAGTTTTTGTAGAGATTTTACAGTTCGCAACTGCATACGGTCATATAAGCGCCAGAAGATTGGAGGTGTTACAAGAGAGTAACAAACATAACAAAGAAGAAGGGGAGATAAGGACGATCGATGTTTGATAGGAAAGAAGAAGCAGACCACACCAGAGCACCCGCCAACCACCCACTTTGTCTGTGTGAAATTGTAGTTTCTGACAAACATCTACAGTCTTTATTTCTCCTTATTGTTTTTTATTTTGCATGTCTGTCTAGTAAAATATCTAATCTTATTAATTGACCTGTTTGTGATGCAGTGCTGTAAAACTCCTCCTTAAACTTTTAAAAAGGTATGATTATTTTTAAGTCATGTTTAGAAAACCGTTTTCATTGACCCAGAGTTTACATTGGAATAATGATATTATCATCTGGGCTTTACGCAAATTATGTTACTGAAAGAAGTTTTGGGAGTGAGAAAGAGTGGGTGGGTTGGGGTTGGGTGGGGCGGTAGGGTATGAGGGTTACGGAGAGCAGTAATAAATGACCCGACCATATCTCCTCAGCAGTAAATCAGCGAATACGTTTTGCGCCTTTGAAAGTCTTATTCCGAGTACGGCTAACTTTTTAAAAGGTGTTATTGTGGGGGTGTTTTTGTTGTTGTTGCTGATGCTGCTGCTCCTGCTCCTGCTGCTTTTGCTGCTGCTTCTTTTGTTACTACTGTAATGTTATTTGTTGCTTTTGTTGTTGTTTTTTGTTTCCAGAGTACATGCAAAAAGAGGGTAGCTGGGGG